CAGGACCTTAGGAGACATTACTGGTGGCTCGCGATGAAGCGGGAGATCACTGAATTCACGTCGCGGTGTTTGACTTGTCAGCAGGTCAAGGCCGAGCACCAGGTTCCTTCAGGATTGCTTCAGCAGATCACCATTCCCGAGTGGAAGTGGGATCGCATTACGATGGATTTCGTCGTGGGACTGCCATTGTCACCACGTAAGCACGAAACAGTTTGGGTCATCGTAGATCGGTTGACCAAGTCAGCACATTTCCTCCGCATTCGTCGTGACTTCTCACTCCAGCGATTAGCGGAGTTATACATTCACGAGATCATCAGGCTACATGGAGTACCGTCATCTATCATTTCGGATCGTGACCCTCGATTCACATCACAGTTTTGGAAGAGTCTACAGAGGGCATTTGGCTCCGATCTCCACTTTAGTACGGCGTTCCACCCTCAGACAGACGGTCAGTCGGAGAGGGTGATTCAGATTCTCGAGGATATGATGCGTGCGTGTGCAATCGACTTCGGGGATGGTTGGGAGCGATACCTGCCACTCATGGAGTTTGCATACAACAACAGTTACCAGGCTAGCATTGGTATGGCACCGTACGAGGCTCTGTACGGTAGACCTTGTCGTACTCCTACCTGCTGGACAGAGCTCAGCGAGAGGAGGTTGGAAGGTCCAGATTTGGTTCGTGAGACCGAGGAGAAGGTCCAGGTGATTAAAGACCGACTTAAGGTGGCTTCGGACCGGCAGAAGTCCTACGCCGACCTTAAGAAGCGTGACATCGAGTATGTAGTCGGGGATAAGGTTTTCCTGAAGGTGTTGCCTTGGAAGAGCGTCCTACGTTTTGGAAAGAAGGGGAAATTGAGTCCGAGGTTTATAGGGCCGTACCCAGTTATTGAGCGGGTAGGACCTGTAGCTTACAGGCTCGAGTTACTATCAGAGTTGAGCAAGATACACGATGTGTTCCACGTGTCCATGCTCTGGAGGTACCGGTCGGACCCTTCTCATGTGATTCCAGCTGATACGGTCACACTTGATGAGAATCTTACGTATGAGGAGGAGCCGGTTGAGATTCTGGCTCGTGAGGTCCGTCAGTTGAGGAACAAAACCATTCCGCTGGTCAAGGTTCTGTGGAGAAGTCATACCGTCGAGGAGGCGACATGGGAAACCGAGGAATCCATGCGCACTCGTTATCCACATCTTTTCAGTGATCACTGATCAGGTAATTTCGAGGACGAAATTCTCTTAAGGGGTGGATAATTGTAACGCCCTGCAACCCGGTCTATTAGAATTGATTAATTTAATTAATTAATTACTGTTCCGGACCGGGGTTGGGAAAATGAAAAAGTTCTTAGAAAAATTATTTGATCATATCATTAAATTCGTCTTGACTGTCTGATTCCAGAAACGCAAACGGATTTCAATTCGGACCCGTTCGGGGGGAAAAGCGCGTACCGTTCA